TGATTGTTCATAGGCCTATATTTACAGCTTCAAACTGAAAACAAACAAAACAAGATGCGTCTGTGAATGGTTAAACAGATCGGAGTTGATGTGTCTAGTGGGATACTCCTCAACAACAGGCAGGAACAACTATTGAGAAACTGGATCTATGAATGCATCTCCAAAGTATTCTCATTCTCTCTTACATCCGCTATGACTTTGAGATACAGTCACACATCTGGTCTCTCAGATGTGCTTTTATATATTTTTAATTTCTTTTTAAAGATTCATTTACTCATACAAGAGTTGGGGTACAGGCCAGAGGCACAGAAGGGTGAGAGGATTCACCAGAGCCAGAGCAGGGAGCAGAACAGGCAGACTGACTGAAGTGCACTGCTGAGAGGAGCAGCGGGCGAGACAGGAGAGGTCTGCTGCACCATGTGGGTATATCTCCCTGGCCGGCGGGGAATAGAACCCGCACTGCAGAGGCTGTGGACAGCTTCACAGTGTGGCACTCAACTGCCTGTGCCACCAGGGAGGCCCCGCTTTTGTGCATTTTTAAAAAGATTTTATTTTTATTTATTTTTTGCATAGAAGAGCTGGGGTATAGGCCAGAGGTGCAGGGGGTGAGAGGATTCACCAGAGGCAGAGTGGGGAGCAGAACAGGCAGTTAAACTCCTGAGGGAATCAGCGGGTGAGACAGAAGAGGTCTGTTGCACCATATATTGGTCAGCTCCCTGGCTGGGAATTGAACTCAGACCATAGCAGTGACAGTTCTCATATTTAGCGAGGTTGCTTTTGTGCATTTTTATCTCCATTAAAAATTTCAAGAGAAGTATCAATGCAGTAAAACAAAATTTTTTAAAACCTGGCATAACATTATATGTTCATGCCATAATATAGAGATGTGGGTGTAGCTGAATCCTGTAAGTGCTTGACCCCCCTCCCAGCCAGACTGGTGACCTGCCATCCAACCTGGCTTGTTAAACTGGCTTCTTAGTTCAAACATCCATTGAATACCATTTTTCACTCAACGCAACCAAAACCAAGTTTGGGATTTCAAGGGGAGATTGAAACACACACGCCCCTCAGCACCAGAAGAAAGCCAGAGGGAAGGAAAGATTGAAAATCTATGGGAAACTGATGTAAAAAGAGATTGTTTGCCTGCGTTTTCCAGCACTACGCCTTCCAGGATGGGCCAAAAACACACAGACGAGAGAATGCTGCAGGTGCTTGGAAGTTCGTGTTCACACACTCGGCCCTCTCTCAGGAGGTAGATTTCATTATTCTAGATAGGAATTTGTAGACTACGTAATTTTATTATAGAACTCATCATCAGCTCAAATCTTGTGTTTGCGGGTGCATGGAATTGTAACAGGAGGGTCCCCAGGAAAGGGGGAGGTTCCAGGTTTCCTGCCCCACCCAAGGGAGGATGGAGCTGAGCAGGGAGAGAAGAAGCTGCAGAGGAGACTGAGGAAGGAAGGAAGCAGGATGGAGCCAGAAGGAGACCTGGAGGAGGCGCATGGAGCCGAGAGACACGTGAAGAAATTGTGCTGGCCTTGTGGTCGTGGACGGGGTGACACAGATGTGGGTGAGACCCGTGGGGAGGGGACCATGGCGGGTTTTATCTTGATTTTGATTTTGCTCTTTTCCTCCAGACTTGCCTGGTGGTTTCTGACCCTTTTCTGTGGGTCCCCACTGGAAGGTGCTTTAGACTGTGACAGGCTTTGGGGCCTTGCTCTGGGCCAATCCTGCTTGGGTGGACTTTTACCCACGAGGGGACGGGTCACTTTGGGTGCTTCATTTAGAAACTAGATTCTTTGCCTTTCCTGTGTTGTTTCCTAATTGTATTAAAGCTTCTTCCCATTAAAGTCTCCTATGTTTTGTGTTGATGCGGAGGATGGCAGGCATTTAGAACAGGCAGGTTTGCAGGGTGTGGGCTGCCCCTCTCCCTCCCCTGGAACAGAAATATATACATTTTGATACATGTATAGAAGGAAAAATGTACACTATGTTAATACATAGACAAAATAACCAAAAAATAAAATTCTGTTGTTTATTTCATTTGTATGTAAAATTACCAAGCATGATATTCAGTTCAGCCTCAGTTCTGGTGTCAGATGTTTGTTTTTAAATATTGCCATGTGCTTTATGAAAACCTTATCTAAGTACGATAAAAGTTATTGAAATATTTTATTCAATCGTGCTGCATTGTTTCTGTTTCCTAAGAGCTGTGCCGCTAGGTGGAAATAACAAATTGAGTAGATTTTCCCTATTTAAAACAATTATAACTCCTCACACAGTCCATATATATATATTTATCTTTTTATTTCCTTATAAAAGTTGTTGCTAATTATATTTATTATAAACCTACTGTGTCACATTGGAATTAAAAAAAAATGTTTACAAGAGCACCAGGACTATAAAGTCTATATATCATAATTCAGACTTCTGTATGCACAATACTTATTCATAAGCAAATCCAAACTAAATTGCTATATAGCTTTTGCTCTCAAAGACACATTTGGAGTAGGTATCTTTACAAACTCAAGCAGTAGACTTTACTAAGCATCTGATTTAATGTGTGTAATTCTATTTAAAATGTAATGATTACCATAATAAAGACATCATTATGGAATGATAATCCAAGTGGTAATTAACATTTCCATTTTCTTGCTTCAAGGTCAACATCGTGGCACTGCAGCCTGTTCCTTCCGCGCCTTGTGGCATTCCATTTCACTACGCTAAACATTCATAGCATCGATTAATCTGACTTCTGACCTCACTCAGAGCGGGATCTGAATCTTGGTGTTTAGAGACTGGGAAATTAATGAGTCTACCACTGCCTCATTCTCTGCTCCCCTCTTTAAATGGTAATTAGAGTGACACCGTTCATGCTATTAGGGCTAAGCATTTCCATTAGAAAACCAGTCCTTCTTCTGAGATTTATACTTCGCCTATAAAAACTGTCTACATATTTAAATTAGACTGAAAATATACAAACCAATAACGCTGAAATTGAAGCTTGAGGGCAAAGATGAGAAGATGAGGAACAACAGGTCTGCTGTGGACTGTAGTCCAGGTTGTGCACTGAACCATTCCAGGGAATGCCATTTACGTAGGGCAGGGTATTCATATTTCTACGCTCCAGTTTAGATCAACAGCATAGGCAGTGGAGGAAAGAAACTAGAGCTGCCATCAGGTCAAAAATTCATCTATGAATAAGTCCTTTGCAACTATTGTATTAAAATTTAAAGTGGCTGGCAAAGACTTAGGGAAAATGTACCTAAAGTGCTGTAGACTGTGTGAAGCAGATTGAATGGGGACAGGAGTTACTAAAAGTGATATTATAAGAGCTGGCGACTAAAGGATTGTAAGCTGGCATTGCATCACTTGGGAATGCAAGTTTCCACGAGAGCTGCCTCACCCTATGTTTCAGCTCCTGTGTTGGTAACCAGGGAGTAGAGATTTCCTCTTTAGCTAGGGCTGGGCAGCTGGCAAGGTGCATCAATCGCTCTGAGCTGTTGGAATTAACTAGATGTGTTTATTTAGAGATTATTTCTTCTGCCATGACAGATGGCCCACCAAATATGGCACAGTCATTATTTAGAACATATTTTCTGCACCTCTCATTTTTTATTTAAGTTATGATTCCAGTGCTATTCCACACTCTAATAATAGCACAAAAGTCATCTTAAGCTTTCTTTCTTTCTTTGTTTTTTTTTTTTTTTTTTCAATCAGGGGTGATTTCACTGAAGTAGAGCACAAAGATCAACATAAGGAGCATCTATCAAATTCATAATGACAATATTATGCAGAGTCCTCTTCTCGACTACAATGTTTAAATTCGCATGTAGTTGTTCTTTTAGGTTTATCTATTGGATTCCCACTGAAAATGTGAGTTTCCATTTAATGTGTAGTGGAAATATTGCCATCAAGACCAAAAAGCTGGAGCCCCAAGAAAGGACAAGATCTGGGGCATGTGAACTATGCTGGGGTCCTAGGAAATTGAGAGATTGGTTTTCCTGGACAAGATACCTGGACATTCTGGACCAACCACATTCCCAAGAGTGAACACCTGAGTTCCCAATGAATGCCCGGGGCCAATGACCAAGGGAAGAGGATGAAAATCATGACTTTTTGTACATTGCAGACCCCATGGTCCCCAGGCAGGACCGTGCTTCTTTCTTCTCTCTATGGCTCACCTGGGGATATTCCTCGCACCTGGTTTCTTGAATGAATGACTGAATAAATAAATATATTTGTTGTTCCATATTCACTGTCTCATTTGATTCTCATGACAGACACCCTTGAATTTTCATTTCCTTGACTATTACCAAGCACTGAGAAGCAAATTCAAAATACAAATTCAAGGTAATGTCTGTGACCTCAGGAGTGCAGCATCTAGGAGACGGCCAAGCTAACCCCCCACACCCAGGCATATACAGTTAAATAGCATCAGAAAGGTGAATACATCTGTTTTGCAGGGCTGCATGATGTCCAGGGGAGATGCTGTGACAACTGTGTGATCATGGAGTCTTGAAATATCAGCAAATATACTTCAGACACCCAAAGGGAGCTTATTCAAGAGAAGGCTCTGTGCCAATACATACTCAATTACCCAGAGATCTTAGCCAATGCAGGTTGTGTTTCAGCAGGTCTTGGGGGGACTTGATCTTCAACATCCCTGATGTGCTGTTGCTGGTCCATGGATTGTGCTTTGGCACATCAAGACTTGGGAGGAAAGTCAAATGTGAGACAATATCAGTAGTCTGTTCTATTCAGTCCCTGTCTCCCAAGGGGTGACATGTGCCCCCAGGGACATGAGAGATGAGAGTGGGCTTCTTTTATTTCATGTCAATGTCTGGGTATTTTCTATTTCTGCTGGCCTTCTTTTTCTGGTTTTGCTATTTTACTTTATTGTTTTCTATGAAAGAAACATTGCATTACCAGTTGAGCATATATGATATATTAAAGTGGTAATAGATGTATGACCACACAAATGTATATGTGTGCCTATATGTACATACCTATATATGATATCCTATTTATTTAAGAACATCCTTCATTTTTTACCAATAAGGGTCAGGGTGTAAAGAAAACACTGATGGGTTTTGGCAGAACGGATGCAGCACACAGAGCAAGGCCATGGCTGCATTCTCAGATAAAGTCACCGGGGCCCTGAGATGCAGGTGCTGTGCTCAGGTCTGCAGAGCTGAGGTCCAAGTGCAGACCTTCTGACTCCAAGTCCAGTGCTCTTCCCTCTCCTCTGCGTCCCGGGCACGTCCGAGGCTGGAGAACAGAGCAGTAAAATAATAAGTCAAAGCACCTTGGGGAGCCTCACCTACAAATACACTTCCCTTCTGACCTCTACTAAAACATGCAGAAAAGGAAAGTTGCAAAAGCCAGATTGTCTTACATGAGCATCTCATTTGAGAGAAAACCTTCCGTGCTGGTGTCGTTAATCACTTTGCCTCCTCCCTTCCCCTAGGACTCCCCGGTGACAGAGCAGCTCCGAGCTGGTTTGTGTCTGTGCTGCAGCGATCTCAAGATCAATTAGTATTTTTTACGGTGCTGTCGTGTAGAAATACAGTAGGGGATGTGGACAAAGTCAACCATTGTGAGGTCGCGGTGCACAGCTGAGTTGCCCGTGAGCCCGAGGGATGGGCAGGGCTGTCGCGTCCTCTGGTGTCAGGCTGGGCTTTAACTGCGGCCGTGCATGATTTTATCGTTAACAGAAGAATGAAGTCATAAGTCGGGGCGGGCGGAGGGCGGGTGCTGCCCGTGGAAGTCCTTGATGTGTGTCACGTTGCAATGATTTGAATTCCATTTCGAATGTGCACAAGACATTTGGCACATCACCTCTTCCGGGGGCCCGTGGGGGAGCCCCAGGAACCAGGCCCTGCAGAAGCCCTGGCTCGTCCTGCCCACTGCATGAAAGAAGGAAAGTGCATGAGAATTAAAGCCACTGGAAGAGTCTGTTCACAGCACACGCACACTCTCTCCTCCGCTGTCCCCGCGCGCCCTTCTTTGTTACGTTATGTCAGTTGCCTCCCTGGCCCCATGGGCCCTGCAGAGCGGGAGGCTGGGGCTCAGAGGACTCTGGCTCCTACCAACTGCTGGCATGGCCTTCCCGACCTGAGGCACTTCAGGGCTAGAGACTCATAAACTCCTTAGCATTTTGCATGATATGACCTAGTCTAAGGGATTCGTTCCAGCTGATAGATTGCCTCGTTCATTCCTTCACTCATTCCCTTATCCATTTATTAACTCTTGGCCTGTGCCTGTCAAGCACTAGTCACACGGGGGACCCAGAACACCCACCATCCTCACCCACCAAAACTGCCACGGTCGGGGAGGCAGAGAAAGGCGTAATGGCAGCTGGTGGGCCGCAGGCTGCCGTGAAGAAGGACCAGGGCTGGAGAACTGGTTTCCCTTTCCAGGTGCAGGAAGGTAATACCTCTGCAGGGCTGAGCAATCGCTGGAGGCATCTGCAAATGCAAAAATGGGGGAGAAAACTGGCACCGACCTAGTAGCCCAACTAGTATGGGCTTGTCCTGTTTAATATCTATCCATCTGGGCCTCCCCTGGTGGCGCAGAGGTTGAGCGCTGGGCTGCGAGGCTGCCTGCAGCCTCTGCAGAGCCGGTTTGATCCCTGGCCGCCGGGGAGGGTGAGGGTCCCACAAAAAAAAAAAAATCTATCCATCCATCCATCATCAAACGCTTGCATGCATGTACATGCATACACAGTCACATGCACACACACATACACACGTGTGCACATAAGACAAATACATGTGTATACATGGATATATGACATTTACATAGATGCACACATGGTATATATACAGAATGCACACCCCTGTGCGTATATGCTCCTATAGACACACTTTTTCATTTCCCTCATGGCTATCCTGAGATATTAGCATTTCCAATGCATAGCAAATTAGATTAAAATTTAGAAATTCTGAAAAGCCTGCAACAGTTAGTCTGACCACAAGCTTCCGGCTCTGAGGCCAACACGCTTCCTAAAAAGACGCTGAGACAGCAGACACCAGGCCGGGCTCGCAGCGCCCCCCGTGCAGCCAGGGTCCAGAAAGGAGGCACGGCCGTTACTTCACACTTTCTTTGGTTACGCAGCTCCTTGCTTTTTGCTCTTTGTGCCTGAATTCCATCACACATTCTGGGTCACTATAGCAACGCAGTCCAGTTCTATCACCACATTTGCCAAGAGCTTGTCTCTCCATGAAGGGCCGCTCCACTCTGCCAAGGAGGGACACCATGATCACACCTCCCTTCTAGACCACTGGGCCTTACACCATCTTCTCGCCACTGTCCGGAAATCAGATTTTAGAATATCAGGTGGGCGTGTCTTAGGCCAAGGATTGCTCGGTAGCTGTGACGCTGTGGCATCTGAAAAAATATTTTCGTGGACAATAACAGAAACCAAGAGAGTTCCAGTGAACTCCTGTTGGTGTTTTCTGGGTGCCTCTCAGGACTGAGGTTTTACAAGGCTGCTCACATGCCAGAGAAGGGGACTCCAAGGAGGCACACGGCTTCTTTCCTTCTCCGCCACCTGCCAAGACCAAGGCCCGAAGATGGGAGGGTTAGACAACAGGCATGTTTTGCTCCCAGTTCAGTGCCTTGGGGAGTCCATGATCAAGGGGGCTGATTCGATGCCCTGGGGAGGGTTTTCTCCCTTACTAGGTGGCCAGCTGCCATCTCACAGAGAGAGAGAGAGAGAGAGAGAGAGAGGAAATTCTGGCGTCATCATGAGGGCCTCACCCTCAGGTCAGATCCAACACTAATCACCTGGAAATCCCCACCTCCTCACGCCACCTCTTCACGCTTTCATCGTAGCCTACAGCTTCTGCACATGAGTTCAGGGGTTTCCAGCTCAGTCCACAGCCCGGGTTTGTGTGATGGGCTCACATTTGGGGACACCTGTAGGCTCTGCTGTCCACGAGCAGTCTTGAGAGCTGCCCAGCATCACTCCTCGTGGGTGCTCACAGGTGAGATGCCAGGAGTTGACAAAGGAAAATTTTCACCCAGAGAGGGATGGGGTGAGTTTCCGAATCCTCAGAGCAGCGGGAAGCCTCTGGGATGAAGGAGGGATGCAGATCCTGTGAGGCTCCGTGCATTCACCTTGTGGGCCTGGTCCCCACCCCTTCTTTTTAAAGCAAATTTTTCAGATGGATTTCCCAGAGCCTGTTCCGCGTCTCCTCAGATCCCAAAGCCCCTTCCATCCTCCCTCCTTGCAGAGACACAGCCCTCCTTGTACTTCCTGCTCCTCCATATGTTCTTTCGTAATAGATCTTGATGATCCAAAATCCCGACAACCGCATGAGAGTTGGCTTTGCTGGCTAACAGAGACCATTGTTCTCTGCAGATACTACTAGGAGTTTGCAGAGTGGGAGGGTGGGGGGAGCATGTGCATTCATATTTCTTTTATTCTTAATTTATTTGCATAATAAAGAAAGAAAATAATCGTACGTGTGCTACCACTTTCTATTATTATTTACATTATTTCTTAGAGAAAAACTAATTCTTATGGAACCTACATACTATACTTTTTTTTTTTTAATTTCTTTATTTATGCAGACCAGAACAGGGGCGGGGTAGGCCGAAGGTGTGGGGAGGGATTGAGAGGATTCAGCAGAGACAGAGTGGGGAGCAGAACAGGTGGATCTACTGAAATACACTGCTGAGGGGAGACAGGAGAAGACTGATGCGCCATGTGGGTAGCTCCCTGGCTGGGGATCGAACTCATGCTGCAGTGGCTGCTGACAGCTTGATAGCACTGTCTTTAACCTCTGTGCCACCAGGAAGGCCCCTACATACTATACCTTGACACACATGGCAAGTTAGAAAAAAAACAAACCCATTTCTTAGAAGGTCCATTCAAATTCATGTCACCCTTGTTATGTCACCTCCCTCCACAAAACTGAGCATCATTCCTGCCTGAAGCCCTTGGCCCCAACACACCCTTCTGTTAGCATCTAGCCCATTACCTCACCAGCACTTATTTCCATGTACATTCTCCAACCTTGCCTTCCAAATCTTTGAGGTGAGGCTCTCTGCCGTATTCACCATCTCTTCTTGGCATTGAGTGAGCGAGCAGACATGACTGAGCTTAATGCAAATGTTTCCCTTTTTGTGAAAAGTCCTTTCAAGATCATGTAAACCCTTATGTTCATCTGAGGCTTGTTGGATATTTGTTACATGGGGTTTTAACAAAGTTCTATCATTTCCAGTACTGACCAGACTAGGAAATTCTTGACATCTCATCGATTCTCCAGCTTTGCCATTGCAAAAACCAAACTATTCTGGGACTCATTTCAGGCTCTATGGAATTTTTTAAAAAGCTGGGTTCAAGCTAGGATGGTGGCTAGTTTAATTCGCAAAGGGAACCCGAGAGCTTTGTGTAAACTGTGGGCCCCACGTCCCTTCTGGAGATGAATGGATCTGTTCGCCGTAGCACTGGGGTGCTGTCTCCATTCACGTCGAGCACCCACATTTTACTCTTTCACGTGCAGAGGTAGTTTGAAGATGCTGTAAAAAGTAGAAATATTTTCATGTAAAAGCTACATCAACCAAGCAGTTTTGTGAGAACAGCAATTGCATGTAATTATGGAATTTTCCATAACTCTGCAGAATGAACCTCTTTTTTTCCCTTTTCTCTTATTTTTTAAAAGAAATTGCCTCTGAGGCCACAAACCAGCTGTGACAATGTAGAATATTATTGAAAGCAATACCTAAATTGAACAGACTCTCAGCCCCAATCCCTTTTGTGAGATTCAGGGAAGATTTTTGTTCTTATTTTGGGGAGAAGAAATTGGAAAATTACTTTCAGTTGACAAAGGAGGAAAATAAGTATGCTTAGTCGCTAACGTACTACCAAAGCATAGTGTTCATTTGATAAGGCTCAGTGTGTCTACTTCTAAAAGTTGGGTTTGTTTTTTGTAAAGGAATCCGCAGAGACAATCATATATGCACTCACAGTTTGCATCTCAATGATGCACTTGCAGGCACATCCCTGTCATGTTAATGAGACTTTTGCCACCATGTGGCCTCAGTGACAGTTGTATCCACAAACAGCAGTTCATCAATTGATTGCAGGTGTTTCCCCTTAGAAAATAAAAACTGCATGTACAGACCACAAGGTGAGGGAAAATCAATTTTCAACAGTCACACAATCTGGTGACTTCTGAAACACAGCTTTGGGAAACAAATTCTCTTGCTGCTAGTCATAAAAATTACATTTTATTTAAAAATATAAACCAAAGACATCAATAGTAATAAAGATTTATAAACTGAAAATTAACCACAATATGCCTAGGATGGCACACAAAATTTTCCTAATTAAAAGAAAATAAAAATCTCAAAATATTTTATGTCTTTACCTATTGCTATTCTTAAGGGAGTCTTTCATCTTTTCCTTATATTTGCAAGTTTCTGTCAAAAATATTTCTTAAATTACATAAAAAAAAACACTCGATGAGACTTATGTCCAATTTCAGTTTAGGTAGCTGCCAGTAATGTATGATCTTAGACTCCCCAAGTCTGGGGGTTCATTTACATTGTATCTCTTTGAATTTTCTAATGGATGCTTGACATAGTCATGCCTCATTGGGCCTCAGACTGTTTTCAAGTGAGATTTTCTTCTTCATAAACAACTCTAGGCTCTTAATGAAGACCCAGGTTTTCCTTCTATCTGATCTGTCTTTGTCCCTTCTTACCACTGTCTGCTATAGATTATTTCACACAATTCCACCTTTGATCAACATTTTTCACACCTTAGCCCAGCTGACTTAGTCTAAAAAAGAGTGGCATTCTACCCAGGAAATCTAATTGCCAAAGTTCAAATTTATCCTTTGAAAGATAACTACACATATTGGATTATATTTGGAATATCTGATCAATAAAGCTGAGGTCTTGAACTCAAGGATTTAGAAGAGAAGATTGGGGAATGTATATGAAATTAAGTCCTTGTACAATAATGTGATAATACTAATAGAAGGATGTGGGGGACAAATGGCTTGGATAATCCTTATAACAGGTTTATCTTGTGCACAGTGAATGTTTATTTATTTATTTTTGTATAGAAGAACTGAGGCGTAGGCCAGAGGTACAGGAGTAAGAGGATTCACCAGAGACAGAGTGGGGAGCAGAATAGGAGGATCTACTGAAATGCACTGCTGAGGGCCTTCCTAGTGGCGCAAGGGGTTAAGCACCACAGTAGGAAGCAATTCGCAGCCTCTGCAGCATGAGTTTGATCCCCAGCCAGCCAGAGAGCAACCCACATGGTGTAGCAGACCTCTCCTGTCTCGCCTGCTGCTCCCCTCAGCAGTGTATTTCATTCAGTCTGCCTGTTCCATTCCCCACTCTGCCTCTGGTGAATCTTCTCACCCCCAGCATCTCTGGCCTGTACCCCACCTCTAGTATGCATAAATAAATAAATCTTAAAAAAAAAATGAAATGGACTGCTGAGGGGAACAATAAATCAGACAGGAGATGTCTGCTGCACCATGTGGGGGTCAGCTCCATGGCTGGGGATCAAACTCAGGTGGTTGCAGTGGTAGCGCTGAGATTTAACCCTTAGGCCACCTGGGAGGCCTCGATGTTTATCTTTGTGGGTTTGTTCTTGGCCTCTGTAAACCAGAAGCCAGCAGAACCCTTTCCTCTTGCCCCTGTTGTCACATCTCGAAGTTAGATCATTCTAGTGAGAACCATCTTCTAGAAACTGTACTGAGGAAAACTTTATGTTCGTAAGTGAAATTTATCTTACTTTTCTCTCCTGCACAAGTGTTAAAATTGACGGTGGGAAATCAAGAAGCAGAAATGAGATCGTACTTCCTCCAGGGTTCATTTTGAGGGCTGTGACAGTTTGGGAGGGGACACTGAGTTAGGGCCAGAAGGTGTATATTTCAGTTACTGTTTTTTCAATTTTTGTGATTTTGGACAACTTCCTTAAATTCTGGAGTTCTGTTTTACTCATTTAAAATGGGAGTAGCGAGGGAATGGGATCCGTTGTTCTTCCTCAGGCAGCGATTCTATGCCACCTACTTCTCACATTTATTTGAAGGGTGGATGGTGGCACATGAAAATACTCCCAAATCTTTGAAGTTCAA